CAAGGCCTTCCTGCTGCCTTGCAGGTGGGACTCGAAAGCCCCTGGGGATGTGGTCAGGAGGGGCAAAGCTCCTCCTCACTGAACACCTGTGAGAAGCCAATGACTTGCTCTGAAAGCTTCCCCCTCACCCAGGGGCATGCAATGGGTCTCCCCACCCCAACTGCAGCCAGTGGAGGGGGGGTAGGCCGGCATTCTGCAGTCAGAGCCTGATGGCTGGCTCTGTGACGGAAGCCCTGGGGCTGGCAGGGACCCCGGCAGCTGGCACGAGCTACTGAGCAGACTTTAGCGAAGGAAGGTTGGGATTGACACCTGCTTTGCTGGGTCCTGACAATTGGCATTCCATTGCCCCCACCTGTGTAAGAAACACATGCAGGGCTGTGGTCCCCCAGCTTCAGGTCAGCTACAGTGCCCAGGCCGTGGGTCCCTGTAACCCCCGCCTGACCGTTTCTGTTCACTCCAGAGGTTTACGGAACGCCCACCACCTACCTGCCGCTGAGGGACAGGCTGGAGGACACAAGAGCTTGGCCGGAGGGCAGAGGGAGCGGGTAAAGTGAGTAATTACGGAGTTGGCGTGAGAGGCCCAGTTGAGTCAAGTCCGGTAACTCTGGGGCCAGTCTGATCTCATTGTGAAACCTGGCCTGGCCACTTGCTGGCTTGTGACTTTGAGGAAGCTGCCTAGCCTCTCTGAGCCTCAGTTCCTCACTGGGTAATAACCCTATCAGACTTGGGAGATAGTGATGTGAATGACAGATGAAAAGCTCGTGGATTAATGGTATTACTGGTGTCTATACTGGATACCAGGGGTGGGGACAGGAGGCGGTATTCAAGGAAGCAACAAAAGGGGAAGCCCAGTTAAGCCGGATCAGGAGGAATGACCCGGCGGGCTCACCGGGGAGAGAGGGCAGGGGGGCTGCGTGAACACGGGTATGGACTTCGCCAGTCTGGCTGGGGGGTCCTGGGGGGAGGGGCAGGTAGACTGAGGTTGGCCTTGAGCCTGGGGCTCGTTTTCCAGAAGGTGGAAGATGATTTGTTTCCTGGCCACAGCACACGTAACACTGATTCACGTGAACAGAAAGTTATTCCCTTTTCAATTTTCTTTCAAGCCTGTGACTCCATCAAGGGGAAAACTATTGACTTCTATTACGTCAGAGCTGTGATCAGGCCTTATTTCTGCAGGCAACTGTAACCACCAAGAATTCTGTAACATTGTTATGTTTGGTTTTTATGATTATGTTCTATTCGGAGTAAGAGGCTCTCTGCTTACAAGGGTGATATAAATTTTCCTTGTTAAGATACATTTAAACACAAGCCCCTTATTAAACACATGTCCCTTAAAGGAAAATACTGAGGAAATGAAGGTACAAGATGAGAGGCAAAAAGGGCAAAAATCATAAAGGCTGGACCCAAATGCCCAAACTTCAGGAAATGCTGCTGAGGCCTCAAGGGAGTCACCCAAACTCTAAGCCAGGGAGGGCTGGAGCCAAATGTGGGTCTTGGAGAGACAACTGTGATGCAGGGAGAAGCCAGGTGCTGGGGCCTGGTCGGCAGAGCCAGTCCAGCAAGCAAATGAGGCAGGTCTGCCCTACGGCAGTGGGCTTCAGAAGGACCTGAGGGAGAAACTTTGGCACAGATGGGCTGCCTCTGTGACCTGCTGGGTGGTGGTGGAGGGAGAGGCAGACTTTATGCATGTTCTGTGAGCTGTAAACGTGTCTAGGTCAGTGTCTGTTACTCCAATTTGGAGTAACGTCTCCCTTCAGACTGGGAACCTCTTGTGGGCAATGTTAGCTTACCTCTTTTCCAACTTTCCAGAGCACGTGGACTCTGTATGGCCCTGTAGGGTGACCCAGCTGCATGGCTCGCCAGCTGACAAGTCAAGGTCTCAGACCAGGGTGACCAACCGCCCTGGTCTGCCTATGACTGAGGGGTTTCCCAGGACACAAGGCTGGGAGGAGCTGGTCAGCCCACCTCAGACAGTCTTTGCAGGGTGGCAGCCTTGGGCTAGAGCCTGTTGGGCTGGCGTTGCTGGTCTATGGGGCCAAAGAGAGAAGCCCACAATTTGCACGGGCCCCGGTAATCCTCAGCTCACGTTTGCATGAACAGCACCATCCGCCTCAGAGCTGGTCCCCAACCTTCTCAAAAAGGCTTAGTGACCTTATTCCTCTTTGAGAAAATAGATTTCATCCTGATTAGACATCTCCTGGCCCACCCCCCTCAAATCTGGCTCCTGTTCAAGTTTCAGAGTTCAAAGGCCTCAAAGATGTCACTTTCCAGGCTTGGCAGCTGTTCTCAAAGGAAAGTCTCCAACCCTGACATTTAGGGCCCCACGTGACTATTTCCACTCCATTCCCCAACCAGAACTTCTCTAATTCTCTGAAGTGTTCCTCCTGTTCCAGCCAACAGGGCCTTCTCGGGGTTCCATGCCTGTCCCTGCTCCTGCCTGCTCTGCCTTCTTCTCCTCTGGTCCGTCTGCCTGGAGGGCTCCCTTCACATATATTCCCATGCCTGAATTCCACCCAAACTTTAAGCTTTGACCAAGGCGTCTCTCCGTGAAGCCTCTCGGTATCCTCCAGGCCGGAGATACTCCTGGTTTCTCCGATCCTCTTCCAAAGCCTAATCTCACCTGGAGCAGCTGGTCACAACTGCAGGTGTGGTCACACCTTGTGGACACTGGCAGGTGGTCATACATCACTTTGGACAGAGCTAGCCTAGAAACCACCAGAAGGCAGGGTCCACGCCAGATTTGTTTTCGGCCTCTCACCTCCTTCCCCTGTGCTCAGGAGTCAGCATATAGAATTAACACATACAGGATTAAAGCCATAATGCCTACTTGGGAGAAGTTCCAACTATCTCTCCATCAGTCACCTGGGGACATCGAGGAGGGCCTCTACAGAGGCTCATCCATTCAGCCAACATCCCTGGACCCTCCAAGCGGCCGACTAGGTGAACAAGACCCGGGAGAGGCTGCTGGGCCTACCCAACAACTTTGTAACAATCACCATGCAAGGTGGCAGGGCCAAGAAAAGAAGGACAAGGAGCTCTAGGAATGTGTCACGTAAGGTCTGGCCCATCTGAGGTCATGAAAGCGTCTCAGAGTACAGAATACCTGGGTTGAGACATAAGAATGAAGACAGCATGGCCCCCAAAGACTGGAGATGTGTCCCTGAGGCCATCTCAGAAGAGAAAGCAAGGGGTTTGGGAGTCAAGGCACACGGTCCGTCTCCGTGCGTCCACTCCCTGGCCGTGTGCCAGCTTGCCTCAGTTTCTGCATCAGCACAGCGGGGCTGCTGGGAGGATTTGTGGGGATAATGGATGGGAAGCACTCGGTACAGGGTCAAGCGCTCCCCACACATGGGGATTACAGCTGTCATTATCACCCACACCGCTCACAGCAGGCCAGAGCATTCCAGGTGGCCAGATATCCAAGCTCAGGCTGAGCCGGAGCATAATCCTGCCCCAGGATGAGCCCCGACCTGGAGGGAGGAGAAACGGGCTGCCGCTGGGCAGCAGGGCCTCCCCTGCTGTCAGGTGGACTGCTCAGGTCAGACTGGCGGATTCGGAAGGAGCAGAGTCAGGTCTCGGCAGCCAAGTGGTAAGGAGCCTAGGGGTAAAAGAGGGGGAGGAAGCTGGTGCAGGCGGAGGAAGACAGCGGCGACCTGGGGTGTGGCCAAGGACAGGCCTAGACAGAGGAATGAGAGGAAGAACAAAAAGCAAGAGAACCTCCTTCCCCTTCCTGCCCACCCTCCCGAGTTGCTCTAGGGAACCAGCAGAACAACTTCCAGGGATGGATGCCTCAGACTCTTGACATCTATAGGCTACCGGGTCTCTTCAAGGCCAGTTAGATGCTTAAAAGCCTGTCTGGAAGCCACCCTGTTAGGGGAAGGAACTGACCGCAGACCGGAAAGCCCTGAGGTGTGTAAACAGCCATGTCACTTCTCCCCAGGAAGGAGCTGGGGTGCAGCAAGCCAAGACGAAAGTCCTGGCCCCAGCACCCAGCCTCCCAGGGGGACTCGCACGGGTCTGGGAGGAATCGAGGGCTGTCTGGGTGCCTGGGAGCATGGGTTCTCTCTAGGACACCGGCCCTCCTGTTGTTCCTTAAACACATCAGCTTGTCCACTGCTCCAGGCTTCATTTTCACTGTTTCCGGACTGCGTATTACTGGCTCCCATCACACCATTCAGGGCTCCTCTCAAGTACCACCTCCTCCTAGAAGCTTTCCCAGATCGCCTACTCTAAATGAGCCCACTCCCTACACCAGATACCTCCAGATACCCACGCAGCTCAGTCCCTCATCTTTTCAAATCTTGTTCAGAAGTCACCTCCTTCACAGAGCCTTCCCTGATCATATTTAAAACCATATACCTTCCCCCCAGCTCTCATCCTTCCTCTCTGCTTTTCTCTTTGACATCCTAGATGTTTAACTGTTAACTGTCCTTCTCCTGCTGGAACATCAGCTCCAAGAGGGCAGGGGATTACTGTCCTCTATTTGTTCACTGCCGTATCATCAGCATCTGGAAGAGGGCCTGGCTCGTAAATGGGGTTCAACCGATGTCTGCTGAGAGAATGATTAAGTACACAAATGTTTAAGGGCAGAGATTCGGGTCAGACTGCATGAGATCTCATCCCAGCTCCTCCACCTACTGGGTGATCTTGGGCCGCCTACTTGACTCCTGTGAGACTCAGTGTAATAGTAGAAAGGGACTAACAACAGTCCTTGTCTTATGGGATCACTGAGGGATTCAATAAGATCATGCATGTAGACAGGTGGAGAGCCCGCCCGGCCCCCGTGAGCACGCAGCACTAAGCTGGTGGCCACCGCAGCCTGCACTTGCCAGCGTCTCTTGCTTAGTTGCTCACTGGTTTAGCACGGGTTTCCACTCTGGGGTCAGCTCCAGCCTCCCTTACTGACTACCATGCCCTCAGTCTCTGGCAAGGTGCGGGAAGAAAAACTCAGGCCTCCTCTCAAATCAAGGAGTGAGGAGCTGGGAGAGTCGGAGGCTCACCGATCTGTTTCTCCAGGGCGGCTGCCTCACAGACGGTGGCCCGGGGCAGGATCCCAGGGTCGGTGAAACTTGTCTGCAGCAGGCAGCTCATGACGAAGAAGAAGAGGATGGCGGCGATGATGGGGATGGCAAGGGTCAGCTGGCGGGCCAGGAAGGGACAGCTAGAGAGAGAGAGGGAGAGAGAAATGAGCAGATACCCAGAGGGCTCCGTGGGACACAGGGTTACAGCACCTGGCAAGGTGTCGGCATCCCAGAAACACCACCTCTCTGCAGAGAGCCATCCCGGAAGATGACATCTCCTGCACCACGTCTGTGTAGAGAGCCATCCAGGAAGAAAGACAGCTCTTAGGCCAGTACCTAGAGCAGACATCACTAATTGATCCTTGCACTTTCCCTCTGAGCCTCATGCTCTTCTGAGCAGACATGAGCAATAGATCCCAGCACTTTTTTTTTTTTTTTTTTTAATTGAACTAAGAGAGGGGATCTAGATCCCAGCACCCTTAACCCCTGCACTTAGCTGCAGTCTCGGAATCCTTCTAAACACAAAGCTTCAGGCAGCCACTACCAACTCACTTGAGTTGACCATCCATGACAATGTTCACTCACTCACTCACTCCACAAATATTTAGCAAGGTCCTCCATATGCCAGGCAACACCTTCCCCAAACAGCAGTGAGCAAGAGCATTGTTCCCCACCCCCCATGAGGCTCTGGGCTCCTGGGGAAAAGAGACCTGTGAACGGAGAGGAGCCACACAGGACCGTGTGTGCTAACATGGGGAAAAGGAAAACAGCTGAACAGTCAGGAAAGCCTGGCTGAAGGAGCTCATGCCTAAGCTAAAATCTGAGGAATGGGAAGGGTCAGTGAGGGGAAGGGGGTTAGGATGAAGAGCGTGGTCCAGGCACTGCCACTGTCCTCCAAGGGCTGGCATCCCAGGTCGGCGTGTTCAGGTCCCCGAGCCTAGCTGGTTTGGAGAACAGCCTGTGCACAAGCTGACTTTGAGGCCTGCCCACACGATTAACCGCTGTCCTCTGCTGTCCTCCCTCCCAAAGCGAAAGTGGCACCTGACGGGGTGAGGGCCTGCTACTCAGGAAATGATAGGCTGCTGGGAGGCCAGATTCAGCCAAGGAGCTGGAACAGCTGCGGAAAGCAGATGTGTGGACATCTGCACGCTCTTTCCAGAGCCTCCCCTGCCAGAGGCTCTAGCCTCCAGAGACGCCCTTCCCTTGAAGAGCAGAGACTGCCAAGATCAAGAACTCCAATGACGGGGCACCTGGGTGGCTCAGTGGGTTAAAGCCTCTGCCTTCCACTCAGGTCATGATCCCAGGGTTCTGGGATCGAGCCCCGCATCGAGCTCTCTGCTCAGCAGGGAGCCTGCTTCCCCCTCTCTCTCTGCCTGTCTCTCTGCCTACCTGTGATCTCTGTCTGTCAAATAAATAAATAAAATCTTAAAAAAAAAAAAAAAAAGAACTCTAATGGCACCACACATTCTGCTCCAAACACCTGAGTGGTCCTTGGGTCTGAGCCTCAAACAAAGCTGGGCCCTCTGTGTCACCCACATCACAATCGACCAGTTTATAGAAAGCCAGGTTCTTTAGGGGATGGAGACTTACAGTCTGAGACTTGTAGAACCCTCAGAAACACCAAGTCCTGGCTCCCTGATTTTACAGAGGAGGACTCTGAGGCCCACAGCCACATCCAAGGTTATCTAGCCAGCCAACAACAGGACTGGGGCCTCTGGGCCCTCAGCAAATACTCTGCATTCATTCAACAAGTATTTCCTCTACTGAGTGTCTACTACACACCAGGTCTGTTCCTGGCACTGAAGACACAACAGTGAGGAGAAAGAAGTCCTGCTGTGGTGAAGAGACAGGCAACAAATTGGCAGAAAGTATACACGTAGTATGTTCAGATGGTGGCAAGTGCTTCCAGAGAATCAGCAGTCAGGGAAGAGGGATAGGGGGGAGGGGAGTAGTTTGTTATGTTACAGGGACAGTCAGGGAAGGAGGGAAGAGAAGTGAGGGAATGAGCCACTGACACTATCTAAAGAAAGCCTATACCAATCAGTGCAAAGGCCCTGAGGCAGGAATGTGCAAGGAGGCCAATGTGCCTGAAGGAGGATGGGGGGGAGGGCAGGGAAGTGGGAGGAGAGGGACAGAGAGGAAGCCCATTATCAGGGCTCTGGCTCTTATTCGGGAGCCATAGAGGATTCCAGGAGGTGACTAGGATCTGACTTAGAATTAAAGGGGTGCTTTGGCCTCCGTGTGGTGTGGGAAGTGCAGCAGAAGGCAGGCACCCTGCTGTCAGCCCTGTGCAATAAGCTACCAAATCAAACAATGAAGCAAAACCATTCTCAGCAAGAAAAGCCCATCTCCCTTTCCCCCAGAGCAATGCAAGAATGTGGGCTTGCTCACATTGTTCCCTCGTGCCAGGTCTCTACCGAGGTTTCACTCCAGTTCAGACCCAGGGGTGCTCTCAGCCCAAACCCAAACCCTTCTGCCAACTCCACCAGCCCAAGTGAGGAAGAGCAGAGACAAGGCGAGATGATTCACAAGCCCTCCCCAAACCCAGAAGTCCTCCTTTCTCCCTTCTCTGGGGGACAAATCTGTCACCAGCCAAGATACCCATGCAGCCCAGAGAAGATCCCATTTCTAAACTCACTGAACCCCACGCTGCAGGGTCACAGGGGTCAACTTCCTCCTGCCCAGGCTGCAGCCCCAGGAATACTGGAAAAGGAACTCTAAAAAAACACTCATGCGGGTCAGCCCAGTGAGATGGATCCGAAACTCAGCTCAGGGAACATGCTGGAGGCTGGGGGCTCCCCAGGGCTTCCGCTTGCTATATTATCCTGGAACTTGTTATCCACCCTGACTCACAAAGCAAGGGGCAAAGGGAGAAGCTAATTCATACAAAGTTCTCATCGTGCTTCAAGGGGAAACCCAAGGTTGCAGATACATGATCTGGCAGCTGGAAAGGGTCTCTGGGGGTGATGTCTTGTGGTAGTCTTAGTGTGGCCACAGGCCCTTAGGAAGTGCTTTATGTTGAAGACAACAGCTAACAGCAGCAGCCAGCATGAAGTACTTGTTCCTGGTCAAAAGCTTACACACATCACCTTGTGCCATACTCATGACGACCTATTATCAACCCCATTATAGATGAGGCCACTGGGGCTCATGAGGTGGAAGGACTGCCCCGAGGTCACGCAGTCTGCAGATGGGGTGTGGTGGGGCTGGGACTGGAACCAGGCCCACTGGCTCCAGAGATGGAGCTGCTCATCACACTGCAGCTAAGGAAGACCACAAAAGATGGAGAGAACAAGGAAGGGAAGTGTGAGTGTGTGTTCAAAGACTCACACAGCAGACGGCTCAAGCTAGAGACCAAGTTTCCCAAGCTGGAAAACTTCCGACACAAAAATGTGACCCTGGAGAGTGACAAGCATCCCCTCCTCCAACCAGAAAATGGAGATACTGTGTGGGCCAATCCTGGGTCACTGGGGATCAAAAGCCCCCACGGGGGCATATAAGACCTGTCACACCAAAGCACTCTGGACTCTGGAGAAGAAACAAGGCCCTGCAGCTGTTCCTGCTGTGGGACAGGCTGGGGGTATGCTCCAGAATGTTTGAGAAGGCAAAGAAAACCAGGAGGTCAGAGGTGGGGGGTGGCAGGCGCTTGGCAGAGTCGGAGGGAAGGCTGGGAAGGGCTGAGGATGCTAAGGAAGGTGCTGGAGAGGGGAGGGAGGCCTGAGAGGCCCAGAGCTGTTTGGGAAGATTGCCTGAGGGCCTAGAGGGAAAAAGACTGAGGGGAAAGGGAAGGGGAAAGGTGTGAGCATAGAGAGATAACAGGGGACCACAGACAGCGCCCGAAGGCACCTAGATTTGTGATGGGGAATATAAAGCCAAAGGACACGGAAGAAATTCAGAAGTTGTCTGGAAGGGCCAGAAAACAAAGCCACCTGGAGGGGTCGGAAAGAAGGGGTGCACAAGAGATGGCCCAAGGAAGAGGTGAGGGAGAGGTGAGGGCAAGGAGGTCCAGGAGGCCTGAGCCAGGCTCTGAGAGGGCACAGAGGATGGGGCTGTGGAGGGATATGGGAGGGTGGTGCTCCCGGCAGAGGCTGGCAAAGGCAGGGTGCCAGGAAAAGGCAGGTTAGAATGGGGGGGGTGGCCAGAGGCTGGGGCATCCAGATGGGCGAGGGAGGATGGAGAGGTGTGGGGGTAGGTGGAGAGGGCCCAGGAGGGCAGAGGAGAGACAGATATGCAAGGGGACTGGGAAGGCCTGGGGGTAGATCCTGAGCGGAGGGCGCAGGCCCCGGAGGAGCTGGGAGGGGAAGGTGGCTGGCAGGTGCAGGGAAGGGTGGAGCCCCCGGGGATGTGGGAGAGGGCCGGGGGCCCAGAGGGGGCCTAGAGGGGCTGGCGTGCCCACGCAGGAGCTGGGCAGGAGGGGTGCGCGGCAGGGGGCTGAAGGGGACCGGAGGGGTCGGGGCTTCCGAAGGGGCGGGGCCGGGGCGCCGGACTCACTCGAAGACGAAGAAGAGGACGGTGGTGGTGAGGATGAGCAGCAGCGTGAGCGCGAAGACGCCGCCGTGGCCGGCCAGCATAAGGCGGCCGCCGCAGTAGAAGCGGTTGCGGCCCGGGAACACCTCCCACTTGCGCCGCGGGCGGCGGCCGATGCTCCCGCTGCCGCTGCCACTGCTGCTCCAGCGCGGCGCGGCGGCGGGCGGCTGGGGCCCGGGGCCCGGGCCGGGGGGCGCGGCGGGGCCGGGGCGGCGCGCCCCAGGAGAGGCGGGCGGCGGGGCGGCCCCGGGGCTGATCTGCTGGTACTCGCAGTCCTTCATGCGGCCGGCCGCGGGCCTCGCCTCGGAGCCCCGCGGGCCGGCCGGGCCGCACCAGGACCGGGGCCGAGCG